AATCGTTACTTTAATAAGACTTTAATATGATGAGATGATCTTCAAAATCAACCAATCATAATAAAGCCCGCTATGCTGTCTAGTCGATATAGTGATGATTAATGGAGCTCTTAGGCTTCTCTGCCGTTCTATCATTTACGGTCACTTAACATTTTAAAATGGTTTATTATTTCATTAAGGTTCGAAGAAGTCTCTACAATTAATGTTGCTGAAATGCCGTATCTAGATACTATTTACTCTCTTTTAGTAATAATAATATCCTGATCCGTTCGGAATTAGCGGAAACTTCATTTCCGCTTATTCACATACGGTCAGGGTATTATTAATCCTCCCGTGATCTTGATATAGTGATCTTTATTATTAAAATATTTTTTGAAAAAGATTTGTAATTTCATGTTCGTACGTACGTACAAGACTAAAATAAAAAATTCTGTGACATGATGTGATATTATTAACGTGATATTATCAATAAACAGTAAAACAAAAAAAAAATCGAGCGAAGTGAGTCCAATAACTATTGAAATAAAAATGTTAATATCAAAATGTAAAAAATTTAGAGCTGGATTTGAAAGGAGGCCAAGCAAAGCATATGAAAAAATTTTGTTAATAATGTTACATAGCAGAATAAGGCCATGGACAATATGAACCACATATGGGTACTGCCAAGGGAAAACCTCGAACTTAGCCCCTGAAAAATCATAAGTGATGACAATCTTCTAGTACAAAAAGAAGTAAATATCCATATGACTGCTAATCGTGTAATAAAGATATTCAACAAAAACACAAACTATAATTTCCAGATCGAAGTTTTCCTTTGGCGGCACTCATATTGTTTTATTGGACATAGACACGAATCGAATGCTTACTATCCCGAAATATTCCGAATAAAAAGTCATTGAACGTAAAAATACGGGTGACATTTCGAAAGATTTTGGCAAGAAAGACATGAGTGAACTATCAATTGCTCAATTGATTACTTTTATTCTATCACTACACCAGGATACTTTTTTTGAACATTGATCAATTTAAAAAATATGAGCATAGACACTAGTGGGATTAGTCCATGTCCAAATAAAAGTTTTATTGGACACAGTCCAAATACCAACACTGATATAAAAAAAATTCATTAATAACATGATGCGAAGAAAAAGACCATGCGAAGCAAGACCGAAAAATATATAAAATAAACTGTTAAAGCCTAAGACTAATAAACTTACATTTACAGTTACGTGTTGAGTTTTATTTCGCCAAAAAAAAAAGTGCAAGTTTTATTAAGAATGTTATATGTTACAGGATTTAACCAGTTAGACGATGTTCATTTTTAATAAAACCTAGATGCATAGTACTAATTCATTAATGGTTTGATTTAGTCATGCAATTAAAAATTAAATTTCAGTATTCAGGTTAGGCAATTTATTAGCGATATTCGCAAATTTGCAATGATAAAAAATTTAGTATTTTTTAAATAAAATTTTTAACTTAATGAGTCTTAAGTATTTGTTTTAAAAATATATATGTAAGAAATATTAAAATTTCTATTTATTAGTTTTTTTTTTTATTTGTAGGAAATAAAAAAATGCTAATAATCTTATTAACATTTTTAAATTAAATAATGATTCTTAATTAATCTTAATGGACATCGAAAAATATTCTCACAAATATGATATGAAAACGTGATATAAATTATTTTTTCTACTTTATAATGAAATATTTAATAAAAATTTTCAGACTATTCGAATAACCCTACTAATTCTTTTGTAAATTTGGCAATCTCAAACGAGGCACTAGCCAATCGTTGTTTTGATGCACGGTTATTAAGAAAGTCCTCTCTATTATTTGTTATTGATTCTCGCATTTCATCTAATTTATCAATGCTATCTTCTAATTCTTTTAGTATAACATCACCACGTACACTTTGAGGAACATTAGTTGATCTAAAAGAGTCGCGGCACACTGCAATCACATTAAGAACAATAGTAGTGATAGTGTTAATATTGTCAGTGAGTTCTTTGCCAAATGATCCATTTCTGATGGCAGTTAAAAGAGTCTGAATTGCTTGAACTATAGATTCAGTTTGACGTTCAAGGAAATCCTGTCATTCAATAACATATTTATGATTACTTAATTGTCATGAAAACAATACTTGACATTGTACAAATTATATATCTTACTCTTAATTCATCTATTCCAATAGCATGTCCATTTGGTTTTTCAAGTTTTAAATCAGATTTAGGACCCGTGATTGACGAATTCAAATCATCCTGGCTACCCATGGCTCTCTGTGACTCATTAGACGTACTTTCACGTGATGGTAAAGGAGGATGCTCCGAACTAATCCTATCAGTATCTTGTCCCCTAGTTCGCCGAAGCTTAACATGCTTAACCATATCTACAACTGAAGCTGTCAAATGACTTGCTGCTGCATCCAATAAACTAACAGGTGATATACCATATCCAGTTGCGTGATTTTTTGCTGCGCTCATAAGATTTGTGAGCGTGGAAGAAAACTTGGTTTTTATAGTATTTAATTTTTCTTTATCTTCTGCTTTCAATGATGAGCCTTTACGTTGTTCATATGTGTCAACTTCTTCGGTAATACCTTTACAGGCAATAACGATTGATTTCATAGCAACGAGGACATTAGCTGATACATCAGATCTGTTAAGAATAAACCGCATTATCAACCACATTATCAATTAATATAAATTCTGAGAACTTTAATTATAAAAATCTTGTCATATAAATTATATACCGTCCAGCTCTTAATAAATCATCAATTGCCACTTGGTAAGCAATAATTTTGGATTCATCGATCGCACCATCTGGAGTTGGGGTTAAAGAGCTATCATTCACGATATCAACTTTGGGTGCTTCTTTGAAGAATGAAGATGTTGCTATTATATAATATAAAGTACATATACTTTATTAAACAATTCCATATAATTTAATTCGCAGATTATATTCATAGCATTATTTCTTATAACAAATTACCCTTCAAATTTCTCAATTCTGTCTTCGCCTTCTCATACTTGCTCTTCCACTCGCTCACTTCTTCCGATAAAGATTTAATTTTAGCAACGCCTTGTTCTTTTTCTGAGTATAAATCATCATTCTTTATTGAAAGTGATTTTATTTCTTCTAGTAATTTGGAAGCTTCCTTTTGCACCTCATTAGAAACCTATAATTGGGTAAATATAATGAATGTACTACGAAATAAGTATAATATATCTAAAAACAAATAGAGCATTTACATTAAAATATAACCTCTTGTTGCTGTCGGTAATCTTCATTTAATTTTTCAAAATCTCGTTCCAATTTTTCTATTTTTAATGCTTGTTGTTTGTTTATCTTTTCTTTTTCTTCCAGTTGGTTTTCGAGATTACGTACTCGTGCACTATCACCATCTGAACCACCCTTCATCTGTAAATTCATAAATAAATGATTAAACACTTTTCTATGTAACCTGAATTCAAACCATCTTAAATAACTAAAATTATTAAGTTATTTACCGATTCTAGTTCTCTTATTCGTCTTTGAAGAGCATTTATTCGTTGGTCATAATCAGATTTTAATATTTCTACGTCAGAATGTATCTAAGCATTAAAAGGTATTATAATTTATAATAATAATAACATTAATATTATTAATAATAGTAATAAAGATAGAATTATCAATAATGCGATTTTTAAAATACAAACATCATTTCTTTCTCCAGTTTGTGTAGTTAAACCATTTGATTTTTTAGGATCAATCATATCTCCCAAGTCAGCCATCAAACTATCAAGAGAGGCAAAATTAACAGGATCGGGTTTATTACTTTTTTGACTATTAACTGTGTCTCTGTTTCCTCTACTTGAACTGCTACTAATACTACTAATACTAGTGCCATTTGTACGACGATGTCCAATATCAGATGCAGAGGACGTAGATGATTGAGTGCGACTCTTCGGTGATCCGTACTCTGGAGGCATACCATCTGGTACTGGTGGGAAATTATTGCCAAAACTATTATTACTATTATTGTTGGAGGAATAAGGCTTTGGGCTACTTTCTGCATTGGTGGTAACGTTTGAAGTATCTGGTCGGATATTTGGTTTCTGAATGCGAAAGTCAACGGAGATTACCTCTTGTCTTAAGGTACTTGTTTCTGGAACGATAGTATTCGATTCTGTAGCTTGACCGGACGCGGTACCATCTATTGATGGTTGTTGGGAAGGATTATTGTTGCGTAATGAGGGGTTATATGGAGGAGGAGTGCCATATGGCGGGTTTGAGAACTTATTATGTTTAATTTTAATTAGATATTACTTCAAAACAAAATAAATATTATCGAATTAATAACATAGTCAAACAACTTACATCCATATCTTTTAGTTCAGGATAACGCCTCTCTAATTCATAATAAACATCACTCGCCAGATCTTTAAATCGATTTTTGGGTAATGTGGCTAACTTCTGTCGTGCTTGATTCCTTTTTGGATGAAAGGAATCGTTTACAGGAAGAAAGGGAACTGGAAATAATAAATATGTAATAATGGCAAAGATTACAATACTGATGATTTTCTTCACGAAATTAAACCAATTAAAGAATTCATTAGCAGTACCCGCATTTGAACCCAATAACCGCCGGGATAACTCGTCATACACATCAGTAGAAAGTTCTTGAAACTGCACTTTTGTGAGTTTAGTTAATTTGTTCCGCGCATTTGTTCTTGAATCATTGGCTTGTTCTGAGAATAATATGGAATCGTAAGTTCGCTAATTATGCAGCATAGTATGAAAATCTTCCAAGATAATTAAAGAACTGTTTTACACATCAACCGTTACTTTTTGCAATTCTTCAAGATCGTTGCAAATAAAACAATGAATATGCGAGATGCTCCGAGTCGTAACAACTCGAAGTTTTAGATCTAAGTTAAATACACTTACCCTTGGCAAGATGTGATGCAAGAAATTTTTTGAAGGCCTCGTAGTGAGTGATGGCGATTTCCATATTCTATTCTGAAGTATACAGATTTAAGAAAGAATGCAAAGATATAGAATAACCCGTCAACGGGCCTGTCAAAGAGTATGTTTTAACGTTAAGTTAATCGTATTATTCAATCAAAAAAAGGCTATTCTGCCCCTTTTTTTGCAAAATAATATGTAACACAATCGAAGTGCATTATTTTTTCATCTTTTAGGATTCGTACGACCTTAATGTTAATTTTGTAATATATAAAAAAATTGCGAAAAAAAGCAATGCTCGATGGTGTAACTTAAAAGGTAAGGTTATTTGAAACATGTTTGATAAACCTAAATAGCGTTAAAAAAAACTTGTAGATTGATGCATTGATGAAACTTAATACAATTTACCATTGATAATAATTCAATATCAGATACGTATATAAATATACGTACGTACTTTAAACTATAAGAAATAGAAAAAAAAAAATGGTAAGCTTCGGTATCAGAATTAGTACGAATAAAATTCTATCGCTCATATTTAGATAAACAAAAAAGAAAATTGACTGTCTGTGTTGCAGTATTTTATAAGTGCCAAAACAATATGTCTTTCGATACCTTTTTATATAGTCAAACGCTCATTTAATTTTCGCATAAATCCGATTCTCTATCGTTCCTATCAGGGAGAATCCAATGTTGTTCCCAATGAAGCATCCGATTTCATTAAATTTGTGAACGAATCTCCTTCACCATTTCATGCGGTAGAATCAGCTCGTTTGCGTTTGCGTAGTGCTGGATATGAAGAAATTAAGGAACGTGAGAATTGGTCCGGAAAGCTGAAGAATAATGGAAAATATTATTTCACAAGAAATCGAAGCACTATAGTTGCATTTGCTATAGGTGGTCAATACGTTCCTGGCAACGGTATCTCAATTATTGGTGCTCATACTGATTCTCCTTGTTTGAAGGTAACATTCACAATATTAAATATCAATCTCACCATGACAAATTATTTATCATATTTAATTTTTATTTTTACTGTAGCTTAAACCTGTATCCAAAAAAGCTTCAGCAGGTTATTTACAAGTCGGGGTTGAAACTTACGGGGGTGGCCTTTGGTATATTTATTATTAAAATGTATAATATATTACCCGTAGATTGATTATTAATTATTTTAATATATTGAAGGCATACTTGGTTCGATCGAGATCTTAGCGTTGCCGGTCGTGTAATGGTCGAAAATGACAAACATCAATTTGAGCACAAACTCATTAAAGTTAACAGGTTCGGAATAATAAAATTTATTATACGATTTCCAGCTAACTAAAATACGATATTTATTCTAAAAATGATAATAGACCAATTCTTCGTATTCCTACATTGGCTATTCATCTCGATCCTGGCGTATCAGATGGTTTCAAATTTAATAAAGAAACTCACTTGACTCCATTAATTGCTACTGCAACAAAGGTGTAAGTTACAGTATTATTTATTTCATTCCTGATAACAATAAATAATAGTCAACTTGTACATTTCACAAGCTTGACAAACGGATCCGATAATAGCGATAAAAATGATAAAAATGAGAGTTTTACTCCAAGACATCATCCTGTGCTTTTGGATTTGCTTGTTAAAGAGCTTGGTGTCAAAGGTACCGTTAACTTATTATAATTAACAAATTTATTTAGTTTAATTTTCAATAATTAAAATATATGCTATTTCTAAAGCTGTAAACCAAATCCATGATTTTGAATTATGTCTTTATGACACCCAGCCATCAACTACCGGCGGTGTCTTCAATGAGTTTATATTTTCTGCTCGACTTGATAATTTAATGATGTCATATACTGCATTGACCGTAAGTCATACTAAAGTTCGCTATATATTTAGATCAACAACTTCTTAAAAGAATTATTGTTTTTATTAATTAATATAGGCTCTAATCAATAGCACGAATAATGTTGAAACATTATGCGATGACAAAAACATTCGTTTGGTTGTCCTCTTTGATAATGAAGAAATTGGAAGTAAAACTGCACATGGTGCTGATTCCAAACTTTTAGAGACCACTATTAGACGTTTAACTCTATCAAATATTAGTGATACAATCTCTCAGGCAAGTAAAATATATTTAAAGGAATGTTTAATTAATTATTATGACTAATAATACTTTATTGGGTATTAGTAGACAGCATTTGAGGAAACAATTCATAAAAGTTTCATGATCAGTGCTGATATGGCTCATGGTATGGTATTCAATCTAATTGTTCTTGCACCGGATCGATAAGACAATAATCTAATTATATATTATGATATCATGTTAATTTTTTTTTTTTTTTTTTTTTTTAGCTGTGCATCCTAATTATTGGTATGCTACTTTTTTTTTTGCATTTAGTGAAATGATATAATTAATATAAATTATCTGTTCTTTTTTCTGTTTATTAAACGTTTGATATTGTAGTGAAAAATATGAGGAAAATCACAGACCCCAGATGCATAAAGGTGTCGTTGTCAAAATTAATGCTAATCAGGTCATTATCTATAATTTTATTATATTCTTTATATTTTCTAAGTTTCGTATTGAAAAATTAAACAAAAAAATATTATAATATAAACAGAGGTATGCTACTACAGCCGCAACATCTCTTATATTACGCGAAGCTGCAAAGAAATACAAAGTTCCATTGCAAGAATTTTGTGTTCGAGCTGATAGTCCTTGTGGGTCCACTATTGGCCCAATGATAAGTGCAAATTTAGGATTGCGCACCGTTGGTAATTATAACTAAGTTGTTATGAACTCAAACAAATTAAATCATTAACATATGATTATACTTACTAGATGTTGGGAATCCTCAATTGAGTATGCATTCAATTCGTGAAACAGCAGGTACTGACGATGTTGCACATGCTATTAAGTTGTTTCAGGTATGTTAACTACAAGATTAAACTTTATTTTCTATATGATTGCCCGAATGCATTTTGACAAATGTTTTAATGTAGGGATTCTTTGAAGAATTTCCAAAAATTGATTCATATGTATTAATTGATTAGTAATCATATACTAGCGTTTAAGATGGGTTTATTTTATAAAATTAAACTGCTTGATATTTGAATATATATTGTATATATTTTTGTACAATCTATTTATCATAACATCTATTACATTGTAAAGTTCATTAATACAATATTAAGGTTAGATATAAATAATTTCTTTAAAAATTTCGGTCAGAATTCATCGGAGCTGAGCCGACACTATAGCAGTTTGCAAAAAGATGTAACTCCACGAACTTCGCGGTAACAATAGTGGGGAATTCTAAATATCCTATCAATCACATATTCGATCAGCAACATCATTTATTTTGAAATCTCAGAATTGAGAAATCATCTGATTTTCTTTGCAGAGGTCACATCTTTTTGCAAACCGCAATAAGCAATACATGTCAACTATGTCCATAGCATCGTATGGGCGATTTTAGTGATTATGAAAATAAATGATGATAATTCATAAAAATTTGATCCAATCATTTATGTGATGTTGCGAAATTGCTGGTATTAAATATTAAACTATCGCTATAATAAAAATTGAATTGTATGTTTGGTTGATCGTCTTCTGAATACATGCGCGGACCATAATACCCGGTGTGATGAAACTTTAAAAATCACATGAATTTGGCATCACGTACGTACGTACATGCATAATGATAAATAGTTATATTGGGTACTCTGTACGGTAAATTTCTTATGAAAACAATAAAATTCAACATTTTGTTTGTATTTGATTGGTTGATTGTATGTAGTCATCCTTCTTTATAATTACCAAGTTGGTTAATCAAGAACTTTTTTAAAAAAAGGTGCTTATAAAGAGATTGTGATTATATAGTGGTATATTTTTATAAGTTTAATAGAAATTTGGTTTAAATTTGAAGTGTGATAGAGAGAGGTTTTTTATATGATGTGCTTATAGGGAGGGTGATTATATCGAGGATGATTGTACTTGTTTACGTTTTAATATTTTGATATAGAACTTGTTTACGTATTAATATTTAATATTTTGATATAGTGACATACCAATACGTAATGTATCATTATTATTCGGAGGGTTTATATAATTCTATTGTATTACTTAATTTTAATACAAAATCTGCGCTGTGAATTACGTAGTAAAATCTGCTACGTAGATCACATAAGGTCGAAAATCCGCTTTGCGTAATAAAAAAAAACCAGCTAAAACGCGGATTCACCCTATGATCTACGTAGCAGATTTTACTAATTTACAACGTGGGTTTCACAGTATTCGTATCAAAAATTTCCGTTGAGCATTTTTACTGGTTTAATGAATGAGCTATGACTTCATGAGTAAATTTTGATGATCTCGGCAAACTTTTATCATTTTGGTCTAGTGTTCCTAGTTGATAAAATTTTTCAATGATTAGCTGCCATCTATAGTTGCAACTAATCAATTTTCATATCATGTGACTAAATTTGCCGATTAGCCAATCAAACCAACACGAAGATCTCAGAATTGATTTTGTGATGATCATCGGTAATCAATTTTCGGTAATATAATCTTCGGGGGGTTGTTACTCAATTCCCCGAAAGCTATTTACCCGACAGGTCACTTACCCGACATCACATAGGGTTAGGGTTAGCATTTGATTAGCTGCAGGTATATATTTTTAGCAATTTGTCACCCTTGTGATGTCGGGTAAGTGGCCAGTCGGGTTAATAGCTTTCGAGGAGTCGTACCGTAATCAATTTTCGGCTGGTATATCACTTCGGTATAATCTTATATCGGCCGAAAATCTTATTATCGAGAACTACATTTTTATCACCGAAAAATAATTATCGAAATTTGCCATTAATTTTCAAATCAGCTGCAAATCATTTAGTCAGAAAGTTGTCAACTAGGTAATTTGGTATGAGTTGTATTAAAAAATTATTTTTTTACGTGTTTCAAATGCCTTTGATCTATTTTTATCCAAAAATTCTATGGAAAATGCAAATTCATGTGATTGGTTATTGTGCTTTGCAAAAAGATGTGGCCTCTGCATAGGGATCCTCATTTTCTGCTGCGACAGACCCCAAAATTCTATCTGCTTTACAATTTGATTTATGCGAATTATGCTATCAATTTTTTAGAATTATGCGAATCAGACAGAAAATATGCGAAATATGCGACAATCATGCTCGTGTAACAGGAAAGACTGTCAAAAATGTGTAGATGATTCCGACATAGTTACATGTGATTGTCAACCAATCATATCTCGAATTTAGCAAATCGGCTAATCAGGTTGCAAAGTTGTGGGATTCACGAGAATTCAAAGAATATGTTATAAGGTGAAGCAAAAGCATTGATTCATCCGTTAAATTTATTCTCGTTTCATAGAAAGTTATGCTACCCGAGCTTTTAAAAGAGATATTTGAACGGTCGCTGTTTGCTCGTATTTTGTGTACGTGTTCGTTGACTGTCTATTATTCCAAAATGTTTCGATATTGCTCTATCATTAATGCCAACCATTTTATGTGCAGATTATGCTCTATTAATGATGCTAAATTAGTCAAAATATGCGAATATGTTATCGCATATGCTTCTGCGATAAAATCAGATGCGCAGATCAAATCCGCGTTATCCCACCTCTGCAGATCATGGGAATCGGAGTTTCTATCGATTTTAAGAATTTTATCTATTTCGAAGAAATATGAACGCAACTGCTCGAAAATATAAATAACTGACAATCTAAAAATCATGCAGTTAACGTACGTACGTACATATGTAGATGGATTTAATAATTTTCACGTGAATTTGCATTGTCCATAACGATAAGCACTGTTCGTAGATTCTCAGATTTCATCTTGCACATATGGGCGGATCTGAGTCATTACTATTGATAGTGAATAACTTTTTATGTTTTTGGTAATTTTGCCACCAAATGAGCGTCTCGACAAGACGATCTTAACAGCTCAAAATTGTTGAAATCTAATCATGGGATCCCGAGATAGTTAAAGGTATGTTAGCTTCGGGTAAAAATAGGGAGTTAAAGCCATCCTATTTTACCCGAAGTAATAACCCTTTTAATTATCTCGGGATCCCATGATTAGATCTCAACTATTTTGGGCTCGTTAGAATCGTCTCGTCGAAACGGTCATTTTGGTGGCAAAATCAATCAGTGAATAAAAAGTTATTCACGTCAAATATTTGACCATTTTAGTAGTAATGACGCAAATCCCCATATGACTGAAGACACATGCCAACCAGTCATTTTGGTCGATAATATAACCTTAGATTTGCACCACATGGTAGCAAGAATCCACAAAAACTCAAAGATTGAATCTGTGTAACAATATTATTAGACACTATTTTTTAAAGGGTGTTTATTTTTCACTAGCATGCACGCGTTCGGATCCAATCAAATTATATTATTTCAAAAAATTAAGTAATTTGATTGGATTCGCATATGTACATATATGTGAAAAATAAACACTGAACAATACTCTTTTTAAATTAAACATCAAAGTTATTCCATCTTTATAAAAACCACCAAATCCCGACAAGTTAGCCTATTTGTTAGGAAGCATTGGATATAGTTCCTGTCGATCTTTGTCGGGATTCTATTTTCGGGATTTTTGATGCACTTATTAGGCCACACCAAATTGATTCTTCGTTTTTAAAAATTACCATGCAAAATATGTCCGGGTTCGCAAATTACGGATTTTAATTGGCTGATCAAATCAAAACAATCATTATATTCCGAAAATAGCCGTTTTGTCGGACTGATCCGTGTTGGTTTTCCTTTAGACTTAAAATTCTATTTGCCTAGTAAATAGTGTAGATCAATTTTAAAATATTATTTGTTACGGATGATGCTGAAATTTACATGATCACATGATGATCTTCTGCATAAACATCTAGCATTACTATATCCATTGGTGTTAGAGTTAAGGTTAGAGTATAGAAGTTTTTTTTTGATTTTACATATATTACATCTAATTTCACTAGGATAATTAAAATATGATCATATTTAAAACCTAATCCTAACATTAATAGAAATTTTTTAGTTGGTAATGTTAGAGTTCTATAAGCATTTTAGGTTATTATATAGAAAATTATCATATAATTACATCAATTTCAGCATTATCTGATTTTAGCATTATTTGTAATATTATTTATATATAGTATTATATAATGCAAAACATATATGTAAAATTAAAATTTTTTTTTACTGTAAAAATTATATTATATCAAAATATTATATGGTAAAACCACTTTATATTAATTTTTTGTTTAAGGGTAGGGTGTACAAATTTCCAATTTCATATAAAATAGATTGTAGATCAACTTTGTGTAACGAATTTTATA